GGAATGCCCTGGGACAGGCTTTCTCCCTAACAGCCTCCTCAGGAAATTGGGGTTTGTAATGCTGATCTACGCATGAAGTGCATTGAGATGTTTTCTTATTTTTGAGGACAACTGGGCTTGGTTAAACAGCATTTCTCCTGAAAACTCTTCCATGTTCTTGTTTCTGTTATTGACTAGCTTAGTTCTGGCCATCTAGATGCTCAGATGCTGATGTAATAATCTCTGTGAATAGGGACTTCCCTGGAGGCCCAGTGGTCAAGACTTCATGCTTCCAATGCAAGGGGCGCAGGTTCGATCCCCGGCTGGGGAACTAAGATCCCACGTGCCACGCGGATGAAATCAATCAATTAATCAATCTCTGTGAACATTTGGTGGGACTGGCACGAGAGGCACACACTGGGTTATTTGATGCTGGTAACACTTTTTCCTCTAGGTGTGCATTTTGATGGATCTGAAATAGATTTGGGGTAAACAGAATGAGCAATAGAGTTAATAATGATCAATAGGAAAAATGTCTGAAGGTTGGCTTTCCCAATGTGGTACTTGATATCATTCATTGACTGTCGAGTGCCTTCTGTGTGTCAGGCAATGTGCTTGTTGCTGGGCATAAAGTAGGAATTTGAAATAGATGCTGACTAGAAAAATTATATTTGTGATGTGAGTAGATAGTACCACAGAGATTATGACAGGGAGCTGACCTTGACTGGGGGGGTGGGAGCAGGGGATGAAGAGGATGTTGCTAGTAGATATTTTTAAAAATGCTTTTAATTGAGTAGAGTTCATATGCTTGTGTATGAAATCCACAAGGTACTCTGGTGAGAATGGAACATAAATTCACCACATGAATTTGCTAAAGATAGACTTGAGTTGTTTTAAATACTAGGAAATATAAGGCTGAAGAAGGCAAAGTTTGTAACTAACAATTTAATAACCTTCCCTTTTTTCAGACACCTTCAGCAGTAAACAAGATAAAACAGCTTCTTAAAGATAAGCCTGAACACGTAAGTAAAACCAATCAGACAAATATTTAGTAAAAAAATTGAAGTTGTATTTTCACAATGAATTTATCTTGTGATAAACAGTGTGTTTTTATTAATTAGGGGTTTTTATTTAAAAAGTAAAAAATGCTCATGATTTTTAAATGCAAGTAACACAACAGGGTATTATGAAAAGGAAGTCACTCTCTCGCCCCACATTCTTTATTCATTCTCCCTTCCAGGAGGCTGCCTCTTCGTGTCCTTGCACAGATCATCTGTGCATTTTATTACCTAGACCAAGGTTTCTCAGCCTCAGCACTGTTGATGTTTTGGACTGGATAGTCCTTGTTGGGAGTGGATTGCAGGATGTTTAGCAGAATCTCTGGCCTGTGCCAGAGTTGTGACAACCAAAACTAATTCCCTGAGGGGAACCACTGGCCTACACTTTGCTTGTTACATTTGCGTGTATGTCTCTTTTCCTACTTAGGTGAGAACATACCACATACACTGTGGTTGCACTTTGCTTTGCCCCTAATAGTATAGCTTGAAGATCTTTCCATATCCTTACATAAAGATCCTTATTCTCTTTATGGCTGCATATACTAGTGTATTCCATTGAACAAGTTTATCTAGCCATGCTCTCATATTAAAGGTCTTTTGGGTTGTTCTCATTCAGTGCTTCCACAAACATTATTCAACAAATATTTAGCATCTGTAGTGTGCCAGGCCCATTGTTCTGGACCTGTAGGCATAGCTTATTTCATCTACATAAGCTGTATTCTTAGATGTAGAATCGTTGGGCAAGGGGTGTGCGTACCATCTTAATCTTAGCACATTGTTCACTGCCTAAGGGATACTGTAAATGACTTCCAAGACTATTAATATTCAATAATTAGACTACAGAGTAGTTTCTAAGTTCCACTGTACAACCTGTATTACAGTGTAACAGGAGTTCGATCATCATCCCCCTAAGAATGATTAAATCTAAGTATATCAGTGTTCCAACTCAATTCCAACTCAATTTGGGTAGACTAATGACTAGAGTATAAATTGACCAGTTGACACAAATTTCACTTTTGTAGAGTTGAGGGATGTTTGTTCATATTGACATGAAGAGGGTTGAGCAAACACTTCTTCAGGTGTCATTTTTGGCATAAGCAATCCCTTTTCCAAACTAAAGCTGTATTTTCACATACTCTTTAAGTGTCTCTCTATTCCTAATAGTTGGACTTCCTGCTTGTTTGAGTCTTCCTATTTGCAAAGATAAAAACTAAGTTAAACAAGTATTTACGACATGTGCTCCAGAATTTCAGCCAGGCACTTTATTATTTATCATGTTGACTATGTGAAATTCCCTCACACATTCTCTAAGCTGTCACTGTGAAGGTGAATAAAGCTATAGTTCTGTCTCCTTGTTTGAAGACAGAAGAGAATACTCTGAATGCTTCAATTCATCAAAACCACCAAACAGCTTAACATCTAACTCATGCTCTTCATCAGGTGGCTTCCCACTTTATGTTTGCTTTCCTGGAGCAAGCACGTTACTGCTTTTTAGGGAATCAGGATCTGCTTGCTAAAATGATACTTCTTATGATAATGCTGTATACGCACACGAAAAAGCAGATAGGACTCAAGAATAGATAGAAATTGGGTAGATATTGTTAGAAAACTACATTGAGGTAGACATTGGTATTTTTAAAGTGCTGTTTGTTCACTTTTTAAACTTCTTAACATCTGTGTTGACTGCAGTCTTTTGCTTTCTGGTACTTGAGAATGTTTACAGAATTAAGGCCCCATGTCACATAGAGGCAATGTGATTGCCAGGTGATGACCTATGAACCTTGGTGAACCTAACCATAGGGAAATATCCTGGGAACATCTCACATGGTGAGGTGGAGCAAAAACATTTTTGAGAAAGTCCAGTTTTCTTAGGTAGTCATCTCTGCCATCAGATATTTTTTTCCTTTTTTTTTTTTAAAAAAAAGGGTGATTATTCATTTTTGGAATTAAAACTCTTCCCTTAAAAATGTTATTCCCAGAAAAAATGGTTAATAGTAATGGTTAAGTAATAAACATGCTTTAGGTATAGTGGAATATTATGTAGGCATTAGTTGCAAATGATAATTACAAAAGCTAATTGCACGGGAAAATGATGTCTTAAGTAGGAAAAAAACAAAGCAGAGAATAAATTTTTTATTTCTGCTCTAATAAAAACTATGTTTAGGGAATTCCCTGGCAGTCCAGTGGTTAGGACTCTGAGCGTTCATGGCCAAGGGCATGGGTTCAATCCCTGGTCAGGGAACTAAGATCCCACAAGCCACGTGGCATGGCCAAAAAAAAAAAAAAAAAACCCATGTTTAGATCATATATGAGACAAAGACTGAAAGAAAATAGGAAAAAACACACAAGCTCATTTTTAGGGTACTGGTGACTGTAGTTTGGGGGGGCAGTGTTCCCTCTGTATTTCTTTCTTTGTATATAATTGGTTTTTATTCTTTTTGGATCCCTGCCAATGTTGTAATGATATTTGTACAGTAGTTAAATTTTTTAAATGCTAGTTTCCCATTCTGCTTATACTTCCTAAAGGGACTATTTCTAGCCAGAAATCTAATATTTATCTTTTAGCTTCTGAAGAAATGAATATTATCAAATAGGGCTTTTATTACTATAACTATTTAATCTGTACTACATTAAAACTAAGTTTATTTTTACAATGCCTTTTCAGGTTGGTGTGAAAGTTGGTGTCCGAACCAGGGGTTGTAATGGCCTTTCCTACACTCTGGAATATACAAAGACAAAAGGAGACTCTGATGAAGAAGTTGTTCAAGATGGTGAGTTTTATGCAAACTTTTTCTGGACACTTTGTTCTCCCTAAAATGTTTAGCCTTGTGTAGCATGGAGAGTAATGATGATAATAGTAGGAATGGTGTATATAGTGCTCACTGTAAGGGAGGCATGGTTCGACAGGCTTTCATATATTTATTAATTTATACACAGCAACTAAATGAGAATGGTACTGTATTGTCCCCATTTTGCAGATGAAGAAACTGAGGCACTGAGAGATAAATATGTTTGCCTAAGGTCACACAGCCAGTAAGTGGCCTTATGAACATTTGAACCCAATCAAGTTCACTCCAGAGGCTGTGCTCTTAGTAACTAAGTGATAGATTATTGGATAAACTTATTTGTTTCAGTTATGAAAGGTTATCATTGTGTGCCGAAATATTTTAAGATGATAAAACTTCAGAATAAACCAGCCACTTTGGTGTGAAGCATCTATGTCAAATAAGTAATGTCATTTCCTGCTTTAGAAGAGTCTATTTCCAAATTTTATTAAAAATTGCAGTGCTTTAATTATATTTTTCCCCTCCCCCCCAGTCCCTGCCCCTACCCAATAATCTGATAAAATCTATTTAAAACAAAATAAATACTGCCACAACCTCAGGGGAGTTTCAGTGTTCATGGGTTCTGCAGCACTGGCTTTGTGTGCGCCATTAGCCAGTTTTCATGGGTTCTTGATGTGTATTCTTTTTATTGCACTTAAGTTACTGATCAATAAAGATATTTGTTAATATATTATTTTTAAAATCAATATGTAAAAGTATCTTAAACCTGAAAGTTTTCATCTTAAAGAAGAGATCTAATAAAGATAGTTCATATTTAAGTAATGATGCAGTTTTTTATAAGGAAGAAAGCTTTCTTAATCCATTAGTATTTACGAAGGTTCCCACCTCTACCAACTAGTTAGGTAGAGATAACTAGGGAGTTATGTTATTATCAGTTTTCTGATTCATAAGCAGAAAAACAGAACTGCTTGTACTGATTCATGATTTAGTCTTATTAAACTAGCCCATTGTATCATAGTCCTTTGTGTTTCTCTAGGCTTGGCAGTGTGTTGTGTGTACAAATGTCATTTCAGGATTTTCATTAATCTCATTGACTCCATCTTTACAGAACTCTTACTGAGAATATACACATTTTCTTCATGTAGCAAATTGAAGTATAGCGAAGAAAGGCAAATTCTAGTTTTACACAGAATTGTCATGGAATTTGCTGTACACAACTGTCTAGCCTAATACAATTGTTTTTGACATAGATTATTGTGTAGGAAAGGGGACAGGAAACTGAGCACTGCATCCCTTAAAGGAAATAATGAGACAGATTCAAAAGCCTCTTGTTTGACTTTTGTTAGTGGTTACTATTTAAAGTTCAGTTGTGCTTTGAGTCAGCAGGTTCCATGGGATGGCAGGCTTTATGACTCATGTTTTCTTCTCCCCCAGGAGTCAGAGTGTTCATCGAGAAGAAAGCACAGCTAACACTTTTAGGAACAGAAATGGACTATGTTGAAGACAAATTATCCAGTGAGTTTGTGTTCAATAACCCAAACATCAAAGGAACATGTGGCTGTGGAGAAAGCTTTAATATTTGACTCCTCAGGACTGCTCGGGCTGTAGGCCCCAGGAGAGCTGTGGAAGCTCTACGGCTTATTGAAGAAGTCATAGGACTGTCGCATGCTTAAGGTTTGTAACATATGGCTGCCTTACAAGGAAAATAAAGTGATGCATTTGAAAATGAAGCCAGTGTGTTAGATTCCAGAAGAATTGATACTTGTGTCCTTTATAGGGGACAGAAAATGAGAATCTATTGCTCTCTTTGTGTCGTTTTTCTTATCTGTAAAGAAAAAAATTTTACCCTGCAATTAAATTCTCCTTCCTGCATCCTTTCTGTTAGAGCTAGTTTCATGGAAGTTGCCTTCCTGCGGGGATTTCAGAAAACATATTCTTAATAGGCGTAGATTTGTAGATCTTTTGAAAGGATTGAACGTACATCTCCCAACAAGATGGATGGCTTTTAAAATTCAGAGGCAGGAAGTCTTGATTCCTGGTGTGGTGTGGTGGTGCATTGTTTTTCTACCCAAACTGGGCACAGCATTTCTACATTTTTATCTAAAACTTCATTGTCTGATACCTCATTTGCTTACCCTGCAGCATCCCCAGCCATTAAAGTATTGGACAAAAATTTCCTTAACTGTAGTGCAGAATAGTTCTGAGTGATGGGATCAAAAGGTAAATACTTCACCCACCTGTTTTTAAGTCCCGTTTCTTTTGCCCACCCTAAGTGTCTGCTCGGATATGGGATCTCAAGTGGACTTAGATCCTTTTAGTCAGAAGGTCTCTTAAAAGCCATCTAGCCCATCCCCTCAGTTCTATACCCTGGGAAGCTGAAGGGCTTTTGTCCCCCCTCACACTGCAGGCTGGGTAGGGGCACAGCCGGGACCACCCACATCTCCCCATCTTGTAGGTGACACGCCAGCCCTGTGCTCCGAGGCAGTCAGTGAAGGTAAACGGGTGGTCTGGCTTCTTTATCTGGTGAAATTTGGATAAGATTTCTCTGTAATTTGGAGAGTATATTTAGTTTTATTTTATTTGGGGTGAGAAGAATCTTACTTTAAATCCCATTTATGTGAATTACCATCTTGTTTCACCAGGACTGTGGAACAGTCGTTTACACTATCAGGGAAGAAGACATTGTAGCCACCCAGAACTGTTCTTTTGGAAGGTAGTAGTAATCGTGAAGCAGAACATGGGGATCTTTTCTTATAATTCCCAATACGGTGTGTACACTCTGGGTCCTAAGTCCAGTTGCTAAAATTTTTAAGCCTAATATTTTAACCTGACTTTTTGTTTTTTGTTTTTTGTTTTTTGCGGTACGCGGGCCTCTCACTGCTGTGGCCTCTCCCATTGCGGAGCACAGGCTCTGGACGTGCAGGCTCAGTGGCCATGGTTCACGGGCCGCGGGCCTCTACTGCTGTGGCCTCTCCCATTGCGGAGCACAGGCTCTGGACGTGCAGGCTCAGTGGCCATGGTTCACGGGCCCAGCCACTCCGTGGCATGTGGGATCTTGCCAGACCAGGACACGAACCCGTGTCCCCTGCATTGGCAGGCGGATTCTCAACCACTGTGCCACCAGGGATGCCCTTTAACCTGACATTTTATCACAAATTTTTCTTTAACAGTGTTCCTTTTGTCATTTAGTTATTGGTTTTCCTGGGTTTGACATATTAAGTGTTCTGTGAGATGACATATTTGCTTTTTTTGAAAACCAATTCTTATGAATTGCAGTAGCTGAGTTCCTTTATGTTTGTCATATTTACTAAAATACCAGGCACAAAATGCACCAAAACCTAGAGCAGTAGCTTTATGTAAATGCTCATGAATTTGTATTAATATAACCGTCAACCCACTTATAATTTGTGCAATACTGTATATATGTAGATTGAGTTGCCAATAAAAAAAAAAATGTAGCCTCTTTGTGATCATAAAATTGCCTTTTCTTTTAAGAGAGCAGGGTTTGTGAATAGCAGCCATTGTTGCTACTAATAAGTAATGTTCTATTTTCCTAACCAGTCTCCCTGCTGCCAGGATTTTCCCCACCCGATTCTGTTGCATCCACTCTTTTAGTTGTTGGGGTCCCCTTGCAGCCCACTGACAGACCATTTCAGATTGTTCTGGGCTCCAGAGTCCTCATTCGCTTTCTCCTTCTGTATTGCCTTTTTCCCTTTTTCACTATAAGGGTCATTCACCTCATCCAAGCTGCTTCTGCAGCCTCCCACGCAAATTTCATCCTTACTTTCTCACGTGTTGTTATTCCCGGTAGGGAATGCTTTTTCCAACTCTGTCGTCTGAGCTTTATGTTCATCTCCCTGCGGTAGTTACCTTCAGGCATATTTGTGAGCACCTGCTCTCCGCCATCCCTTAGGCTTCACAGATAACCAGAGACCGTCTCTGAAAGATCTTAGCGTTGACAAATGAGACTGACACCAATGAAAAGAATAGGGTAAGTGTTGCTAATAGCATTTATTCCATACTTGCTACATGCCAGGAGCTGTTCTAATTAACAGTCTTCATTACAACCCAGTGAAGTAGGTCTGATGACTGTCTTTTTCGTAGATGAGAAACTGAAATATGGCGTGGACTAAATAGTTGACCTAAGGCAACGTGGTAAGTGGCCAAGTCAGGATGACACCCCACACCATCTGGCTCCAGCCCCTTGCCCCTCGCAGTTAGGCTGCACTGCATGTCATGATAAGAGCCGAGATTGCAGGTGCCCTTCTAAAAAGGTATCTAAGAGGGCTTCGCTGGTGGCGCAGTGGTTGAGAGTCCGCCTGCCGATGCAAGGGACGCGGGTTTGTGCCCCGGTCCGGGAAGATCCCACGTGCCGCGGAGCGGCTGGGCCCGTGAGCCATGGCCGCTGAGCCTGCACGTCCGGAGCCTGTGCTCCGCAACAGGAGAGGCCACAACAGTGAGAGGCCCGCCTACCGCCAAAAAACAAAAAAAAACAGCATGCTTGATTTTGGCATACATCCAGTCAATCCTCGTTATTTGAAGATTCCCTACTTGTGAATCTGCCTGCTTGCTAAAATTGATTTATAACTTCTAAATCAAAGTCATTTTCAGACATGCATGGAGAGGCCAAAAATTTGAGTCATCGTGATGTGCACGTTCTCAGCTGAGATGAGACAAGATGACACTCTGCCTTCTTGTTTCAGCTCTCATACTATAAGCAAGTGTCCTTTTGCTGTCTATTTAGTGCCATGTTTTCTGTACTTTTGTGCTCTTTGTTGGTGATTCCACTGTTTAAAATGGAGCCCAAATATAGTGTTGAAGTGCTGACTAGTGTTCCTAAGTGCAAGAAGGCTGCGATGTGTCTTATAGAGAATATGTGTTTTAGATAAGCTTCATTCAGGCAGTTATCGTCCTGTTGGCCATGAGTTCAATGTTAGTGAACCAACTATATACATAATAAATGATCGTTAAACAGAAACATACATAAAACAAGGTTATGTGTTGATCCGTTGGTGAAAATGTGGTGATCAAAGGCTCCCAGGAACCCAACCCTGTATTTCCTCTAGGAGCAATGGTTCAGTATTCTAGAATTCAGTGTTGGTGGTTACTTTGTAGAACATAACTACTGGGAATAATAAGAATCAGCTGAACAGTACATCCACTGAAATGAGTTTTATATGATGTATGCATATACACAAATGCATGGAAAAATATGAAAGAATATGCACAGGCATACAAACAGCTATACAAACAGGTAATGAATAGAATTATGGTATTTTAAATTTTCTTATTTTTGCCAACCTGCATTTTCTAGTTTTTTTCATAATAACTATATTATATGAATTGTAATTATTAAAATGGATTTGGTGCATCTTCAAACAGAAAATGAATTCATCATATTCAGGTATTTGATCATTTTCATTGTATAATAAAGATGAAAGAATACGGGAATAAAAAGGGTTTTTTTTGGTTTGGGCTTTTTTTTTTTTTTTAAGTCAGAATAGTACTTTCAAAGGTAATAGGCTGTTTCCGAACTTTAATCCACTTCGTTGTTGCTTCCCTTTACTTTCACCCCGGATCTTCATTGTACAAGCATACCTGGAGGTTTATCATTAACCACTTAAAGTTGATTAAAACTGAACCTACGATTAAAAACCAAACCCATGGGCTTCCCTGGTGGCGCAGTGCTTGAGAGTCCGCCTGCCGTTGCAGGAGACGCGGGTTCGTGCCCCGTTTCGGGAGGATCCCACATGCCGCGGAGCGGCTGGGCCCGTGAGCCGTGGCCACTGGGCCTGCGCGTCCGGAGCCTGTGCTCCGCAAATGGGAGAGGCCACAACAGTGAGAGGCCCGCATAACGCAAGAAAAAAAAAAAAAAAACCAAACCCACATTCTTAACAGGTGAGTGGATAAACAAACTCTGGTACTTCCAGATAATAAAGTCATGAAAAGACCTGGAGGACACATAAATGCATATTACTAAGTTTTAAGCCTACCTGAAAAGGCTACATCCTGTATGATTCCAACTTGATGACGTTCTGGAAAAGACAAAACTATAGAGACAGTGAAAAGATCCGTGGTGGCCAGGGGCTTGTGGGGAGGGAAGGATGAATAAGCAGAGCACGGAGGATTTTTAGGGCAGTGAAACTACTCTGAATGATACTATAATGGTGGATACATGTCGTTACATGTTTGTCAAAACTCAAGGAATATAGAACAACAGGGATGAACTCTAATGAAACTATGGACTTCAGCTGATAATACTGTATCAACACTCACATCAGTTACAACAAAGGTACCACATTAACACAAGATGTTAATGATAGGGAACTGGGAGTGGGGAGGGTTATAGGAACTCTCTGTAGTTTACACTCAATTTTCCTATAAATCTAAAACTCCTACAAAAACAAACAAAAAAAACCCAGTCTATTAAGACCAGAACAACACAACTCATTCAGTTTCTTTTGGAAATTGTAAAGAAATGTGTTGCCTTGTACAGGACAAAAAGCCTTGGCTACTAAGTTTGGCAGTTAAGGGCTTCCCTGTTGGTGCAGTGGTTGAGAATCCACCTGCCAGTGCAGGGGACACGGGTTTGATCCCTGGTCCAGGAAGATCCCACATGCCACAGAGCAACTAAGCATG